GACAAATGGCGGCTATCGTTTCACAGAGAGGGAGTGGGGGCGCGATGGCGGGGGGCCGGAGGGCGAAGGGATATTTACGTAAATAAATAAATAAATATATACATAAAATAACGTATTATTTAAACTTTATCCTCGACTCGTGGAAATTTTTTTTTTTTTAACCATTCAAAGCTTTCAACTTCAAATGCTTTATTTTCCTCAAAGGCATTTTTTTATTTATTTTTAGAACAAAAAATTTACTCCGGCAAAAAAAAAAATGACAAAAACGAATTTTAAATGGCGTTAAATAAAAAAAAAAAAATGTAAAATATCCGTTTGTTTGTTTGTTTCTTTTTTTAACCGTTAAATTAACAATTAAATAAAATTAAAATTGTTTTTATTGTGACAAATAACAGATTTTTATAAAAAAAAAACATGTAACGGACAGATATTTAATTAAATAAATAATAATAATAATAATAATTTTTATTTAAACGTGCGATTAGAAAAACAAAACAAACAAATTACGTAATTTATTATTCCCACGTTTTTTTTTTGTTTGTTTTTAGAATTATAATGCAAAAGATAAAAAAAAAACACAAAAAACACAAAAAAGCTTTTTTTTTCTTAACCTCCCCTCGAAAATATTGTTATATTTATCACGACGACATTTTATAAACAAAAGAAAAAGAAAAAAAAATTATTTATTTACAATAAATCTGACGCAATTAGATAATCATTATCATGTCCGCCATTTTGTTTTGTTTTTATAAAAACCTTTTTTTCCAATATTATTATTATTTTCCCGTTCATTTGATTTCATTCATTTGTTTCAAAACGTTATTGTTATTTTCTAGTCATTATTATTATTATTATTATTATTATTCGCGACATATCGTTTGATTTATTTAAATAAATAATTATTAATGTAAGTGTGTACTCGTTTAAAAAATAATAATAATAAATTTTATAAGATTATAAATAATAATAATAATATTAAGATTTAAACGTTAACAAAACGTAACGGTTTTTTTTTTAACGGGTTTTTTTTTTTTTTTTTTACTAAGTTAACTAAAATTTGAATTGTAGCAAAATTTTTATTGCCAACTTAACAATAAATTTTAAAAAAATATGTACGTGTGTGTTGTTATAAATAAAAACGATCGTTAAAAAAAAAAAAAAACAAAATTTGTAATTTT